GTAACTCCATCATACATTCAGGAGCATCTGTAGCATGTATAATGCTTATAATTTGACAGACTTTGTTTTTTTTCCATTTATTAACTTATTTGATTTTCACAAACTTTGTAAGGGTCCATAATTTAATTTTATTATGTGGAAATCCATTTTAGTTGAGGTACGCAGAGATGCATTAACAAGGCCAATGAAAGAGTTGACATTATACTAAGTGACTTCTCTAAAGATGTGGTAAGGACCAGAAACCTCATTTAAGTTTTTTGGACACTAATCTTATGTACTTTGTGTATGCCATAATAAGTCTAGAATGAACAAGTTGTGTCCACAGACATTCAACACAAAACACGTGTTATTTAAACTGTTCTAATAGTTAAACAATTTTTTAAAGTGAGTAAAGTAATTTTAGCAATATACTTTATTTATACCAATATATCTAAAGTTTTATCATGCCAATTAGTACAAAATATGAGAGACTTTTTTATGTATTTCTCATTAGTGTTCAAAATTTAGTTTGCATTTTACAACTTTCAATGTTCAAGTGAGCTTTCTGCCATGAAGTCTGAAGTTTTTGTGAATAGATGAGAACCATGAAGTCTCCAGACTTCATCAGGTGTGTAGAAGTCAAGTAGACTACTAGAGTTGAAGAGGAACATCAGTTGCTAAGACTTGAGCCATTGGTGAACTTTCAGCCAGCCTACTGTCTCCAAGGTCTACGTCCTGCATCATCCTCTCAGTAACCAGTTGTGCTGGGCCTAAATAGCCACAATGCATTGTAGTGCAGTGTACCACTGTCTGAACCACAAAGTCCATACCACTTGCTTTCCCTCTTTAGGGGACTGCATGTTCACTACTGTTTAGTTATTTACTTTTGAAAAGTTGGATGAACCATAAAGAAAAAGGAAAAAAAAAAATCAAATCTCCATGGGATACAGGAGCCTAGAAACTCCCACTATTCATAGAGTCCCTGTTCAAATATAGATGTTGGAAAGCATTTTATCATAATGTGCTTCACTTTGGAAAGAGATTGAGATTGCTAAAACTTCAGAAAGTTAGAGACAATTTCTTACTTCATTATAGATATCCTGGACCTTTATAGGTTTCTTGTACTGTACTACTAGAAAACCTAAACTGATTCTTGCATTATTATATGAAATTCATCCATAACTTTTGGATTGTCAGAGCTAGGATCTATCTGAGATGCAAATAAGTAGAAGCCTAAACTAAGAATTTCCTCTCTAATACTATTTTCATAATTATATTGCTTCAGTCCATAGGACTTGAATTTTGTCACGAGGAAGGACTTGATATGCTTACCCACCAGTGGTTTTTATTTTTTTAAGCTGGTGGCACACTTTTTTTTATACATATATTGATCATACATGGAAATCCAGTATGAAACAGGTAACAGTAGAGCTCCTATAAGTGAAGTGGGACTGGAGCTGGAGGCTGAGGCCACACTTGTTTGGTCTTCTATTTTTTTATCTGGCAGTTCACACGGCATCGCTGGATGACCTAGGTGTCAGTTAACACAGTTAGAAAACACCAACTTTCTACTGACATTTTATTTTTTCTTCCCAGATGATACCTAGAGACTTTTAATTTAAAATTTTTTGAATTTCTGAAAAGTTGTCCAGAAATGAGCACTAGAATCATAAAACAAACAAGCAATGGAAAGAACTATAAAGAGAAAGGACCAATGTAGGTTAGAATTACAGGCAAGGTATGGGATTAGAACAAGCTCAGGGTTGGTTAGCTAAGAGTTTGATGGTCACCTCTCCCCACAACAGGAAGAAGTCAGACAAGGCAGTCAGTGCTGACAGATGAGATTAATTTTAGCAAATGAGCATGAATGAACAATCAGCCAGTCACATGACATTATCATTAAGCAGCAGCTAGTAAAAACCTTGAATTGGAAAGTCAGAGAGTTTGCTGCATAGACATTGTCTGATGATAGTGAAACCCTAGGGCCGTGCTATCAGAGATGCAGAAAATTCTCCACGGAAGACAGTATGGGAAGAGGAGATTAAGGGGGCTGTGTGTGTATGTGTGTGTGGCTGCACACTTCCGTCAACTAACTACATAACTCAGTTCTTTACTTCCTTTAGATCTTTGCATATGTATTGCCTAAATGAGAGATGTCCTTTCTGACCATCCTCTGTAAAACACCATTACTCCTTAACAATGTCTGTTTAATTACATTGCTTTTTTTATATCACTTCCATTGACTAATATATGTTTACTTATATATTTGTTAAACCTTAGTCTTGTCCAAGTATATGGGTATTTGGCACTGTGGTGGTTTGAATGAGAATGTCCCCCATAGGCTCCAAATATTTAGACATTTTGTGCCCACTTGGTGGTGCTGTTTTGGGAGGTCTTAGAAAGTATGGCCATGCTGGAGGAAGCATGTCACTGAGGGTGGGCTTAGAGAGTTTTTAAGCCTTGTGGATCTCCAACGGAGATCTGCTTCCTGTGCCTACTTGAAAATGTGAGTGTTCCTCTTTCTATTCCAGCCACCTCTGCCGCCATGTCTCCCTGTCATGACAGACTCTAATTCCCCTGGAACTGTAAGCTCAAATAAATTCTTCCTTGTATAAGTTCTCTTGGTCAATGTTTCTATCATGGCAACAGAAAAGTAACTAATACAGGCATTGAATAATTACTACCCTACTTTGGTTTCTATTGCTGTGATAAATATCATGACCAAAAGCAATTTGAAGAGGAAAGGTTTTGTTTCACCTTACAGCTTATATTATCAAGGGAGGCCAAGGTAAGAACTCAAAGCAGGAACCTAGAGGCATGAACTGAAACAGAGACTATGGAGGAATGCTGCTTACTGGCCTGCTTAATCTGGCTGCTCTGCTACTTTTCTTATACAGCTCAACTCACCTGCGCAGAGATGGCACTGCCCACAGTGAACTGGGTCCTCCTACCTCAATAAGTAATCAAGAAAAAGCCTCAAAGACAAGCCCAGAAGGCAAGTCTGGTGGAAGCAATTCTGAATTGAGGTTCCCTCTTCCCAGATGTCTCTAGTTTGTGCCAAGAAAAACACTAACCAGCACAGTTTTAGTAGATACTCATTATATAAGTGAATAAGAGAATCAGTTCTAAAAAAAAAACAAAAAGAACTGTCGTTCTAAGAAAGCAATCAACACAGTCAAGTACATGGAAAGCCCACAAAAGAAATGAATTAGGGAAAGGCCACTGAGTGACCTTTAGGTCACTTGTTCCTTGTGATAAAGGGTGAAACTGTTTCATTTGTATTCAGTTTAATCTTGTCTCTCAGTACTTACACAGCTGTGTTCATGTACTTTTCATGGCATGCAGCATTTCATACTTTGTAGTAGGTGTGCCATTACCTACCTCTATGCAGTAAACACCTTGAAAACTTGGGTTGTGACTTTTCTACCCATGGTATGCTTAGCACTTGTTTCCCTAATATACTAAATGAATGAACAATGGAATGAATGAATGCCAGGGGGGAAAAGGGTCAAGCAGTAAGTACCTTAACATTGAGTTTAGACTGGCCATCAAGAAGAATATTGGAAAATGGCTCAGTGGGATGGTAGGAGCAGCTGAATCCTATCAGGAAGATCCACAGGGTCTAGAAAGAGTCTGGCTTCAAATATTTCTCCACTACATACTAGCTATGTGATTTGGGGGGAAATTAGATCCTCTTTGTGCCTGAGTTTTCTATGGGTATTATGGAGATACCAGGGTAGTGCCTGTCTGGTTTATGTTGGAAACTAAAAGAGGTAATCACTTCCCACAGCATATGAATTTGGGAGAAAACAGCCAGTTCAGAGCAGGAAATGAGAAGGCATGAGATTGCTGGAATGAGTGGGACACAAAACTCTGGGTAGAAGTAGAGTTCTGCTTTTAAAACTATTGATAACCTGAGTGTTGTGGTACATACCTGTAATCTGTGGGAGGTGGAGGCACAAGGATCAGGAGTTCAAAGCTAGTCTCATAACAAGTTTGAGACCAGCCTGGGCTACATGAAACTCTGTCTTAAAAATCCTCGAAAACTCAAAACAATCAAAATGCCCTATTTATTACCCCTCAATGGACACAATTAATTTAATGGACAATACATTAAAATTTTAACCTTCCTTTATGCAGGGCTAACTTTCAGTCACACATTACAGTTGTATGCTTTTAGTGAAATGGCTAAACCAGGTCACTTTCTCCTCACTTCAGGTAGTTTTATGCTTAATTCTTGTCCCTAGTCCTATATATTTAAGAGTACAAGGCAAATTGGGAGTTCCATTTGGAGGGTCTTGTTTTTAGTTTAAGGGTTAGACCCCAAAATCATCTCTCTACTTAGAAAAGAGGAGACAGGAGACTGAGGCATACCAGTCTCAGAAGAAGCATGATTTTTAATGGTACAACTGAAGGTATCACAAAAGTAACAAAAACTATACAGAATATAGATACCTGACTTGCCCCTGTTGACTTTCTTTAGATCATATCACCGACTAAAGAACTTTTTATGCAGGATGTTTTTCCCTGCCCACTTCTAAATAATCTTTTTGTCAAAGCCTTCTTCCATTGCACATCTCCATTAAAGAGTGAGTCTGTGTTGAAAGCCTGACAGTAGAAAGCCTGTTTGGGGCTGAGCATTTCAATTTACTTGCCATTTCCTTCACGAAAATGATGCTTGGGCCTGGAGAGCTGGATCAGCAGTTAAGTGCATTGGCTGCTCTTGTAGAGGACCAGGGTTCTGTTCCAAGCATACACAAGGTGGCTAAGAACCATCCATAACTCAGTTCCAGGGGATCCAATGCTCTCTTCTGACCTCTGTTGGCATTGCACGACATGGGTACACTTACACACATGCAGGCAATACACTCATACACATAAAATAAAAATTGTAAATAAAAAATATTTTTAATGAGGATCATAGTATCTTGTAAGTTCAGTGTCCCTTGAAGCCTGTTTGTAGTGTAGTCAGAATCAGGATAAGGAATTATTAATGAAAAGGATACAAGTACACACAGTTTAATGAAGCTTTGTTAGACTCCTCAGCTCTTCCTCTTGTCTATTTTCATGACACGATGCAGCTTCTCTTAATCTTAAACTCCTGTCCCTTAGCAACAGCATCTGGAAAAGAAACTTCACTGTGTGGCATGGTATGTATTATGATAACAATGAACAAATTAATTGCATTTCTTGACAGCTATCATTACTATTGACCTCTCAGAGTAAAAAGTAGAGATCATTGAACAACTAATGCTTATTTCAATTACAAAAACAATGACAACAATCTTAAAAGTGACAACTGAAGAGCTTATGATGGTTCTTTTACTTCTGTGTTGAGTGTTTTGTTGACCTCTCTTACAAACTGCCGATTATAAAAGTACACAGCAATTCTGGTCTTTCTTGAATAAGAGATTTGTTTTCTTTTCTATGTGGATAAAACCCTTTCTTTCCACACCTGAAATTCAGACTGCCTTTCATCAGCCTAGCCTGGTAGCATTTCTGTTCAGTTGCATGTCATCCCCTCAATTTTCTTACACTTTGGGAGGTGTGTTCTCAGAAGATCAGTTCAACAGACAGTTTAGACATATACTTATGTACACATTTGCATCTACTGAATTATAATCTAAAAAGTAATATTTAAAAGTCTGTTTCTTGGCCAGAACCACAGGCTCAGAGCATGCGCCTATCTTTCTGACATCTGGTGAGAATTGCCTGGTTTTCTTATTATAGTGTTGTCAGTAATGGAAGGTGGCAGGAACAACTGATGTTGTTAAAGGAATAGCTTTTGAAGAAGTAATGGGAAATGTATGGGATGGACTAGTACTCTGTATTAAAATGTCCATGAGACACTTAGAAATAAAGATGGAAAAATAATATGCACATTCAAATGTAGTTTAAGTTTATAGATATGTAGGTGGCAGGCAAAATAGTTACTTTTTGTTTTGTTTTATTCTTGGGGAGGTCAGATAAGATATAGGCCTTAAAATTTATTTGTTGCCCCTGGCCAGTGGGGTCTTCAACGTGAACCTGGGGAGAGAACCGATGAATGGAAGGACAAGAGACACGAGAAATGAGAGCAAGACAGGTGGTGTGATCAAGCCCTTAAATTTTTATTTTTCTGTTTGCTATATAACAAGTAAAAGGAGGAAGCGAAGCTAGGGGTGGGGAAATTTCAAGAATGAAGTAATCTGTAAAAGGGGGAAGTGTTGCTAAGGTTACTAGGGTTGCTCAACCGCAGTGAGGCCACCTGGTTTCTGAGAGATGGTTGCTTATCTAAATGGTGCAACCTGAGGTGGTTTCAGTGTAATTTGACTTAAGCAACTGTTGGCTCCCGGCATCTCCTCCCTTTCCATTAAAAGAAGTTGAGGAACCTGAAAGTTGATAATTATTGACTCATAGAAGAATAGTGGGCATTAACCGGGGAGGGGAAGCATTGGCCTGATCCTCCTAGACATTTTTGTGTGTCCTTTTTGAGGAGGGCAGGAATTTAGGGTGCCTCTTGCGTCCAGAGGTGCTGTTGGACACTAACCTCCATGCAAACAGGCTTCTCAGGGAACCCAGAGACAGAATACACGGTCCTTCCCATGCAGGGCTTTGCCTTGCACCTCACACCAGTACCCCTGTCTGTCTAGTGCAGACATACATGGCTCTGAGTACCATGTAGCTCCCACAGGAGGGGTTCTTCTGCAGGTTCCTCTAGACCTCGATCAGCTAGATCCAATCGGTGATAATGGACTTGTAAGGATTTTGATGCCAGGGAGTCAATTTGTTGTCGAATAAAGCGGGTAATTCTGCCCATAATGAAAGGCCCAAAGCTTACAAGAAGTAAGAGGCTAAGGGACCCAACAGCGGGAGTAAATAGGGCAGCATTCCACTCCAAGCACTCCAAATAGGGTTTTCAAAAAGTTCCTTGCGCCGTCTCTTGAGCTCCTCTTGATGTTTCTGAATGCGATCATGAACAATTCCAGACTTATTAGCATAGAAACAGCAGTGTTCCTGTAGGGCCAAACAAATTCCTCCCTTGTTTGCAGTGAGCAAGTCTAACCCTTGCCTATTCTTTCTGAATCACTACTTCTGCTAGGGAATCTATCTGATCTTGTAGATCCTTAACGGATTCATAGACCATATTTACATCATTTATGAGCTGTTGTGACAATTTTGTGGAATTCCAATTCTGGCCGAGCCAGTGGCGATGCCGCTTGCAATGCCTAATCTACCAATAGGGGTATAAACTGGACTGCCCTACATTGTTGAGGGATAAAGTTATCAAAGCTAGGTAAAGGGATGGGCTCACTTCCAGGGAGGATATCTATATCAGGCAGGAGCATTGCAGGTGCACAAGACCCTGTCCAATTTACAGGGTGGGAAGGATAGGCCATGTTGTTGCCACATACCGAAACCCAGCCTGATTCTAAGCAAAAGGCTTCAGAAATGTTAATGAACTGTACGCAAGTGGCAAAAGATACCGATCCCACGTCTATGTCAAAACTGTTATTTTGCAAGGGGTAGCATTGAATCCTATAGGTTGAACTTTAAAAGGGATTGAGAGGCTACGGCTGTTTTTAATTCTTTCAAATGTTTAAGGCTAAGGCATCTATACTTTTGCCCAAATGATTCATTTAGCTTAAGGCATTTTTAATTTTTATTATTATCTTCCTCTATGTCTGAGTCACTATCCTCTGAAAGCTCATCCTATTGGTCAGACTCGTCTTTATGCGAAGCAGAGCCCTCTTCGTCTTGTGGGGAGGTATCTTTAGCCTTGGTTGTCTGTAGGGCTTTACTCTGTGTGATGGGAAAAGCATGAAGGGTCCTCTTATATTTGGAGCCATCTTTATTAGGAGCCCTTTTTGGGATAGCCTCTAGGGAAGCACTAGATAATTCCAAATCAAGGGCTCTGAGCTCCTTAATTAATTGTAAACGTTCTCTTTTTTGTTGAAGGATGGGCAGGTATCTTTAGCCTTGTTTGTCTGTAGGGCTTTACTCTGTGTGATGGGAAAAGCATGAAGGGTCCTCTTATATTTGGAGCCATCTTTATTAGGAGCCCTTTTTGGGATAGCCTCTAGGGAAGCACTAGATAATTCCAAATCAAGGGCTCTGAGCTCCTTAATTAATTGTAAACGTTCTCTTTTTTGTTGAAGGATATTTCTTAAAGAGGTGGTCTCTTCGGAGAGCATCACCTTAGCCTTATTTATGTATTCTGTAACATTGTCCAGATCGAGGACAGGGGCACAAAAAGGGGGTGCAGTAGCCATAGCAGTACAATCATTAGTATAGGGAGGTGGTCTTTTTACTGGAAAAGCTAAAAGCATGGGGGGCCAATCAGGGTTAGGTTGTTGAGTAGCCTTTTGTACAGGGAAAAGGGCTTCCTCAGAGGGAGAATCCTCCACCAGTCTAAACTTGGGGGACTGTATAGATGTCCCAAAAGACGTGTAGGTGTGGGTTTGTGGTTTCTCTTGGGTATTAGAATCAGCAAGGGGGTCAGAGGCTGACTGTATATTCAGGGCCTCTTTAGGTTCAATAGTGGGACCATCAGGTTCCGGAATATTAATAGACATGGAGCCACACGTGGAGGGGGGCCTTGAAAGCCTTTGAAGTGCCCTTTCACCCTCCTTGATGACCTCTTGGATATCGGGAAAATGATTATAAACCTTTAAAACATCATTGACCAAATTCCAGTAAGAAAAGACCTGAACAGGAATTTTTTTTCTGGTCCAAAGGCTCTATAATAATCGTGAAGACAATTACCCACCCTTCCCCATCTTTTTATATCAATAGTTCCTTCTTGAGTGAACCATGGGCAGATTTCTCCAACAAAATTAAAAAGCTTACACAAATCTTTTTTCTTAACCCTAGTTCCCCGTGTCTTGAGGGACTCCTTGAGTCCTTGGAGGAATAAGTCATGCTTACTCAATGCTTGTCCCATGAATGCACCACACTTGCTTACCTTTATCAACTGAGCGATCTCACAGGTGGGTGGCTCTGCGGTGCTCACTGTGCGGACCTTCACTCGCGGTGTCTGGCTCTGCGGCGGTCCTGGGAGTCATGGCCGTTAGGGTCCTCATATCTCCAGCGCCACATTGGGCACCAGTTGCCCCCTGCCAGCGGGGTCTTCAACGTGGACCTGGGGAGAGAACCGGCGAATGGAAGGACAAGAGACACGAGAAATGAGAGCAAGACAGGTGGTCTGATCAAGCCCTTAAATTTTTATTTTTCTGTTTGCTATATAACAAGTAAAAGGAGGAAGCGAAGCTAGGGGTGGGGAAATTTCAAGAATGAAGTAATCTGTAAAAGGGGGAAGTGTTGCTAAGGTTACTAGGGTTGCTCAACCTGGTTTCTGAGAGACAAGTTGCTTATCTAAATGGTGCAACCTGAGGTGGTTTCAGGGTAATCTGACTTAAGCAACTGTTGGCTCCCAGCAATTTTTTTCAACAGATTTCCTTTATAGCTTACTCTGGCCTGGAATTCACTTTGTAGCCTAGGAGCTGGCCTAATTTTGAACTTCTGATCCTCCTGTCTTGGCCCCCAGAGTGCTGAAATATTTTTTTTAATTTTATTTATTTTTATCTTATGTGTATTGACTGCATGTATATAAGTGCACCCGTGTCATTCAGTGCTAATGAAAGTCAGAAGAGGGTGTTGGATTCCCTTGGAACTGGAGTTATAGATGGTTGTGCTGGGTCTCAAACCCAGGTCTTCTGCAAGAGCAGCCAGTTATCTTAACCACTGAGCCATCTTTCCAGCCCCAGAGTACTGAAATCTTATGTGTCTATCACCACATCCACTCATTTTATTATACCATGTCATGAATTAATGTCGATAGCATTTTCTCAGTTATAGAGGAATACATTGCATAGTACGCTGTGATGGTTAATCTTCATTTGACTAGATTTGGAATCATTAGGAGATATACTTCTGGGTGCATCTGTGAAGGTGTTTCCAGAGAGCTTTACTTATGCAGGGGAGACCTACTCTGACTGTTGTTGCTATCAGCTGATGGGGTGGTATCTTGTACTCTTATTCAATTAGTGTATAAGCTTGCCAAGTGGCTGGTTTCTATTTCTGCTCAGTACCTCACAGGGCTCTGCTCTGAATTACTTCTGACTCTTTGCACTAGCTAAATGCTTCTTTCATTGGAGTGTACATGAGGAGGCATGCCATAGCTTTCAAATGAATACTAAATATGATTTGAATGGTGGCAACATCAATAAAGTTCCTATTTCCATAAGAAGACTGTTTTAGGGAGAGTCCCAAAAATGTGGGTGAACAAGATGACATTTTAAATGTGATTCTTGTCACTGTGTGTGTGTGTGTGTGTGTTCATGTATCTAATCATGCTCAAACACTGAATTTATTTTCTGTTCAGAAAGAAGTCATTCTGCCCTGAACGTGCTTAGAAGAGAGGAGACAGGAGATTTGAAGCATGTCAGTCTTAGAAGAAGCACAGTTTCTAATAGTATAACTATAGGTACCGTGAAAGGAGCAGATGCACAGAGTATAGACATCTGACTTGTGGGTGTTTCCTGTTCACTTTCTTTAAATCCTGTCATCTATTAAAGGACTATTTATACAGGATTTTTTCCCCACTTTTTCTTGGCCACCTTATTGGTAAATAATCTGTCTGCCAAAGCTTTCTTCACATTTTACAGGCTCCATTAAAGCGGATCAGATTTGTGTTTGTAGTGGTTCACCATAGCCAGGAGTGGAGTGTTCTGTAAACATTGATGCTCAGGATGCCTCAGCAGGAAAGTAGCTTGAGACCTAGAGTTCAGAGCTAGCCTGGACAACATAGTGAGATTCTTTCATTTTCTTCTTTCTTTTTTAAAAATTTTAATTATTTTTGTTTTATGTATGTGAGTGTATTGCATGTATGTATGTAAATCAGTGTACCCGTGTTGTGCAAAGCCTGCAGACATCAGAAGACAGTGTCGGATCCCCTGGAATTGGAATTATGGATGGTTGTTAGCCACCATGTGGTGCTGAGAATCAAACCTGGGTCTTTTGCAAGAGCAGTCAGTGTTCTTAACTGCTGAGCCATCTCTCCAGCCCTTCCTTCCTTCCTTCCTTCCTTCCTTCCTTCCTTCCTTCCTTCCTTCCTTCCTTCTCTCTCTTCCCTCTCTCCCTCCCTTCCTTCTCCCTTCTTCCCTTCTTCTCTCTCCACTCCCTTCCTTCCTTCCTTTTCATTTTCATGATCTGTGATAGTACCAACTAAAACACCATGTCTCATCAATTTTCTTGTGATTACTTCACAAAGACACAGAAAAAATATGAATTGCCAATTGCTCTCAGAAAGAGGTTACACATTTGTCTATAAATGGAAAATTCCTAACATAGAGTATTATTGAAGAGATATGTCTTACTCTTATACTTCTGTCAACATAAAGACTCATTTAGCCAATGAGGCTCTATTAACTTGTTCTTTAAGTTTTTTGAGAAACTAAATCAAATGCACAAGTAAATATATACTGAAACCTCTTACAGGGCAGATTGGGTTTGTTAGTACTTGCAATGATAAAATGACAATCTTCATTTCAAGATATTTAGGATATAAGTTTTATGGTAGATCAGCAGGAATGGGAGCAATAGGACTGCAGGAAAAAGATGATGAAACAACCATTAATCAAAGTTTAATACACTATACAAGTAAAAACAGTGCACTATGGTTTCTTCAGGGTGACTTTAGGGAGGGAATGAATTTTATAAAGTATACAAACACTGACCCTGGAGGTCTGGTAAGGGGTTCGTCCTTGGTATCTCTGGAAGGCTGTTTTTGTTGGTAAACGGCATGAGCAGGCAACAGGAATGGTATAAGACAGTTCATCATGGGGCTCACTGCTCAAAATGGCATAACACTTCTCAGTCACATGCTGCACAAAGTATTAAATACCTCATATAATGCAATGGAACTTTAATAAACAGCATATATAATCAAATTCATTAGATTATATATTGAAGTTTGTTAAAATCATATTCTCCAAATATAATTTAGAAGTTAAAGAGAATGGTAAAATCAGTGAATCTTAGACTATCCTATGCAAGATCTGAAAGGTTAGTGGAGCTACACTGAGAAAGTAGGGGTACAGCTCAGTGAGGGGACACCATGATCATTTGTATCCTATATTAATTTTGACTGAGTGAACATATTCTAGGCATTTTGTTGGAAGCTTCAAATATGGTTCATTTAGAGGCTTAGTTCTTGCTTCCATAGAACTTGGCATTCTAAAATGGGTTTGACGGTGTCTGAAATTAGGATAAGAAGAGAGATATTCCAATTCAGTGTTGTATGTGCCTGATAGCTATCAAGAAGTCTCTCTAAGGAAATAGTGAGATATGCAACTCAGACCAGAAGCGTTACAGAAAACGTCTTTAAGAAGCGCTTTTCAAGCCTGAAGACATGGGAACAAGCCAGCTACACTTATTGACTACCCTAGCCAGAGCAAGAGGCATGTGAATGTATGCATGCAAGTTAGAGACAGGGTGAGAAGTAGGCAGAGAGGGAAGTAGGAAAAGAAAGGGAAAGAGTATATTTGGTGGTTTCCAGGAAGTGAAAAGGTTTAATGTATCTTAATCAGGTTAAGAGTTGTGGATTCAGATGAAACTGCAGAAATATGGGGAGGAATTAAAGGGTGATGAATTGATGCATTCTTTGAAGACTTAAGGAATTTATAAAAACAGTAAATCTGATGAAGGATTTTGAGTTGGCATGTATAATAATAGGATCCAGTTTCTGTTTGTAGTTGTTCGCCACAGCCACGAGTGGAGTGGAGTTCCTGGAGACACTGCTGCTCAGGATGCCTCAGCAGGAGGATGGCTTGAGCCTAAGAGTTCAGAGCTAGATTAGGCAATATAGTGAAATTATTTTCTTTTATTCCCTTTCTTCTCTTTTCTTTTTTTTCTTTCTATCCATATACTAATTTGACATAATGAATTTTGTTATAACAATTTCATTCATGTATATAATGTATTTTGATTATACCCCCATTATCACTCTCTCTTGTCCCCTTTCCAATACTGATGATGTCCTTCCTCTTCCTAACCCCAGTGACTCCATTTCATAAAAGTTTACTATGGCTATGTTTAGAAACCATTTCAAAGGGATAAGCTGGAAAGCTAGAAGACCACCTAGGAGCTGCTGTGGATTTTATTCACATCATCAAAATGGCCTGAACTGAATTGGGTTAAAAGCATAGGGATTGGAATGGGTGGATCCTAAGGAAAATTTGGAAGGGATTCCATGGGATTTAGAGATGGATTGAGTTTGCAGTGAGGGGGAGAAAGGTGTCTGTCTTAGCCACCGGTAAGATGTTGTTTGTTAGCCAAGTCTCACTTGCTATAAGACTGACCACACACAATGCAAGGCTGCTTATTCCTAAATAGTGCCAGGCCTATATTAGTTACCTTGTAGACTGCTTGCTTTGAGTAGGCATGGTATGGCTATAGTTTGTTTGTGCTCTTCCTTCTTGAGATAATCTGTAATTATTTCTGTTCAGATGAGAAAATGAGTTACCCCACTTCACTGAAGTGAAATCTAAAAATGTACCTAATGACTAGACTGAAGCTTTCAGTGAGGAATTGGAAGAGAAAATCAGTTTCTCCATTGCTTCTAACTGAAAATGGATAATTGCAACACTTTTTTTTTTTCTTGTCTTTTTTGAGACAGGGTCTCCTTGTAGCCCCAGCTGTCCTGGAACTCACTTTGTAGACCAGGCTGGCCTCGAACTATTTTTTTAGTATCCTTATTTTAGGAATTAGGAAAATTTTTTTATAAAGCTACAGAATTCTATCACAAGGAAGCCCTTCTGGGGACTGTTGACAAAATTTTAGATGAAAAATATTGTAGAGAATAAATTACTGGCTTCTAGTCAATTGCTTGATGGTGACATTTTTTTCTTTCTAAAGAATATTGTGTTATCTTCCAAAGTGTTGTTCAAAGAAGTGGAAGCTAGCACACATAACATACCAGGACTCACAAAATTGTTTTATGTTGGTTAAAGAAAAAAGGTTCTGGTAATTTTTTTGCAAAAGGGAATGGTTTTTCTGAAAAATCATCTGAAATAAAATATGGTATAGTTTCTGTTGTTAGTGAACATGCCTTATAAAATCTTTTGTTAAGTGATTTGTGCACAATTATCCAGAGCATAATTATCTTGATTAATATTATGAAATATGGTATTTATAATCCCAATGTTCAACAAAGTACTACATGATTAGCCCTTTACAAATAATTAAATTTCTTGTATGTAAAATTTCATTTCAGATTATGAAGTATCAACTAACATTTTCAAATTTTAATCATCCATAAATAATAGATTCAGCTGAAATATGAGCACTGTAACTTGTACTATGTCAGTGAGAAATTAAGCCACATTTTGTATTTGTATAGCAATTACTTTTTAATGTGTTTTTGTTTTTTTTGCAGAAATATTTAGATAAATGGATTTACTAAAAATGGAAGAAAATTAAATGTTATTCTTCAAATGTTTATTGATTTTTGTCCTGTTTCCACCTAAGTGTTCTCTTTCATCTAACTTTTTAAATGTTGCTTACATCATTATGACTTTTAATGAACTGTGAATTGTTCAAGTATTTTTCCCTGGCAGAACATGGATGAGATCTACTATTCTCCTGACAATGCAAACCAAATTCCTTGTACTCTTGAGTGGTCTAAGTAGTTGTTGCTAAGCTTTTGTCATGTATTTAAGGAAGGACCTGCTGTTGAACACACTGAATGCTTAGCATTGAAATGATACAAATGTTTGCATTATATAAAGCGGGTTTTGCAGCAATCGCTTGGAAGGTATGTCAGTGAACTCTCAAAAGCATACTTGAAACAAACGAGAAAGTAGAAAGTTTGAGCAAAGAAATAGAAAATACTAAGAAAAACCGAAAGATAAATTTTGGATTAAACAAAATACAACTGTAGATTCAAGGAATTTGAGGATAGAGCACTAGAAATGACCTAATTTGAATAACATAGAAAAATAGGTTGAAAAAAGTGCATATTATAATACATACCACTGAGTCAGTGAAGAAACTTCTAAATTCACGATCTGAGAAAACCACATCCAGGATAAACCAAAGACACCTAGGCCAAGATACATTATATCCCAACTTCTGGAAAGTAAGGAGAAGCTAGGAAAACAGTGAAACAGAAATATATTTTTGACATCAGGAGAAAGTTGCTTACCATACTATTATAGAAATCATAAATATAAGTATTGGCAAAGACCTTAACTTCTTCATTTGTTGATTTCCACTCTAAGTCTTTAGCCTTTTAACTGAACTCAACCCATCTAACACAGAGTATTTGACACTACACACGGTGCTAGGCAGCTGGGCAATGTCTATGAACCTTATTCTTCTATAACTGTTCCATAGCAGGTATCATTTCCAAAAGCAATTTAAGGAGTTCTAGAATTGGAAAGAGCTTGAATTTAAGAACAAAGAAAAGGCCCAGAAATTTGTAATTTTCAATTCCCAGATGGGCTTCAGTGCTATGGATTTTGTGAAACCAATCTAAAAATGCTAGTATACATAGACCTTTTTCTAGTAAAAAGAACAAAGGCATTTATCATTCTCAAAGGACCTGATGGCCTAAGATCCATCATCAGTTTCTATTTTCTCGTGTGTGTGTGTGTGTGTGTGTGTGTGTGTGTGTGTGTGTACATTGTATGTGCACGTGCAGAGGGCAGAGGTCAACATTGGGCTTTCCTCAGTCACTCTTATATTTTGAACTTGGAGCTTACTGGTTTGGCTAAACTGGCTTACTGGCAAGTCACAAGAATCCTTTTTTTTTTTTTTTTTTTTCTATATCTCCAGTTCAGGGATTACAGGCACATGCTGCTGTGCCAGCTTTTTATGTGGGTGCTAGTTCCTCATGATTATACAGCAGGCACTTTAGTAATAGTACCATCTCCCTAGCTCAGGTTTCTATTATTTTGGCATAGTCATTTAGACTAATATGGATAACAAAATGAAGCTCTATTTAATTTTATTACGTTAAAACGTGTGTGTGTGTGTGTGTGTGTGTATTTATGCACATGCTATGGAACACACATGTGGAAGTTAGAGGACAACCTGGGGGAAAAGTTCTCTCCTTCCAGCATGTGGGTCCCTGAGGATCCAGTTCAGGATCATGGTTTGGTAGTTGTTGGCTGCATGTGCTTTTAATGGCTGAGACATCTCTCTGGCCCAGAAAAGTTATTTTTTAGAAGATATGCTCCCCCTCCCCCACCTCTGCTTTTAAGGATAAAACAGGAAAATAGAATTTTCCCCTCTAATTTCTTATAGGTACTTTTGGAAACATGCATTCAGGAAAGAATGTTTGCCTGTAGTCTTATTTTGGGCATACTAAAAATAGCACATGGAAGTGACTAAATGCCTGTGACTTAATATACTTTGTTTCATTTCTCCTATCCCAGTGCAAAAGTTCAGATGTACAAGAAAGAAACAGCAGCCTCTGTAAATCAGTCCTAAGGAGCAGGTGTATAAAAGATGACAACCATCTTGCCACCTGTATCACTCAGTTTTTCCTAGGCACACACAACCAAGTTTTATTAACTGCTAGTTTGCCCAAATAAAGAGGGTTAGCACCTTCTCCAGTGAATTAACAGCTCCGACAACACTCAACTTATTTGATTTCCATGTAACCTAGGCATCCCTCACTATTTTGTACCAAATCTCTCAGGCAAGTCAGGTCAGATCACTTGGAAAAGGGATTTTATTGTCTATGCCCTGCATCTTGACAGAAATCAAAGTTCTTAATGTTATTTGGAGAGCTAGAGACTAGACAATGCATTGTTGGGAAAAACTGAGAGTGAAACCATAGTTTGATTCATTAAGAATATGCTGGCTGAATCTTCAGAATCAAATAAACCACTGAACACTCTTATGGAGATACAGGTCCCTCCCCATTGCTATATAATCTGGAAGATGTAGGCATTGAAGGTTTGTCTGGAAAATAAGGGCCCGTAATGATTTTTGAATTCTAACAGCTTTGAGTAGTGAACCTATAATGGCATTCATATTATCATGAATTTTGAAATACAGATTATGACTGTGCAGGGTCTGAGACTGTACATTTCTAATAAAACCTCAGGTAATGCTAAGTAACTAGAGCAAAAAAAGGTATGCCCATTTGGTTGGTGTGCACATCAATGAGGCCATTAGTTTCCTTTCATATCTCTGGATTTTCCACCAGAAGCATCTGTCTCAGTGCTGCCCATTTCTCACTCATTGTGATCAGTTGAGGCAAGGCAACCAGTCTCTCTCTGCTTAGCTTATGTGCTGGACAGCTTTAGTTGTCAACTTGACAAACCTGGGAAGAGGGAACCTCAACTGGGGAATTGCTTCCATTGGATTGGCCTATGACCATGTCTGTGGGACACTTTCTTGATTGTTGAATGATGTGGACAGCCTAGCCCACTGTGGGTGGTGCCACCCCTGGGCAGGGTGTCCTGTATTGTATAAGAAAGTAGGCTGAGCACAGGCCACGGGTGCAAGCCAGTAAACAGCTTCCTCCATGGCCTGTGCTCCAGGTACCTGCCCTGAGTTCCTGCTTTGGGTTCCCTTGATGATTGATTGTGCTTGTAAGCCAAATAAACCCTTTCCTCCCCAAGCTGGTTTTGGTCAGTGTTTTTATCACAACATCGAAAAGAAACTATAATAACATAAATAATTAGTCCACACATAGATACAAACAGTCTAAAATAAACAGAAAGGGACAACACACGTAACATATCATAATGGATGTGTATTTAATACAGTACTTCTTCTCACCAAGGATCTGTTAATTAATATAAAGGTCTTTCTTTAAGTATATGTAGAGTCTTCCATTTGAGTATTAGATACGTTGAGTACATTTTTATTAAAAGTTCTTTTCCTCAGACATAAAAATTTCAATTTTTGGCAACTTAAAATCTAAGTACAACATCAACTTGGGAGATAAAACAGAAAGGTAATAAAAAAATGGAAAAAAAAGACTCAAAGAGTCAAGAGGCAGTGATTACAACTGAGCATTGCTGACTTGCTAGATTCTGAGCAAACACTTCTTTCTTTTTTGTGTGCTTTGACAATTCTGAAAGTATGAAGTAATACTTATGAAAATTTAAGCCATTTCATTTTGACCCTCTTTCTAAGCAGCAAATATATATTATAGGCTGTGTTCTTTCAGTGCACTATTTGTTGTAAAGAAAACATCTTTCCCTCTCATTTAATAAGTATCTTCCCATTTAATGAGAAAGAATTAAGAATGTGGAATCACCCTATTAACTGTTTGCTGGGGAACTATAGGGACAAACCTCAGGTTTAGCTTCAACAGCATAAATGGGTTTAAGGTGAAAGCTGATTCAGAAGAGCCTTCAAAGTTACATCTGTCCACTTCGTTTTCGAGCGTATACCCCCAAGCAAGCACATATGCCTGTAATGCTGAGAACCACGCCTAACAAGAGAGCAATCGCATCTCCAGCTTCTACTGCTTCAACAACAGGCAGAACCAAAAGCAGTGATGTAAGAACCAAGATCAGTTGTGTTGAAATTGAAGTCATGATGTTGAGATCTCGAGGGTTGAACGTTCTAGAAATTAAATATGGAAACAAACAAACAAACAAAAAACCTGTTAAAAACTCATACCTTCTTGAAAGATAATATAAACACAAGGTTATAAACAACAATTGCTGGAGTCTGTGAAGCACTTCAGCTTCACCTCATTTTACACGTGACAAAACAGAGGGAAGAAAGAGTACTTAGTCATTTTGAGGTTAATCTAATGACAGTACCCTAGACTGGGCAAGTCTAACACAGTAAAGCCAACACCATGTGCATCAACCAAACTGAAATTGGAATGCAGTGCATCATTAAGAACATGAAAAAAAAAATGCACGTGACACTTGTAAACTTAAAATATCCTAGCAAGTAAAAATTACATTATTTAAGCATGTCTCCTATTAGGAAATGCAGACAAAACAAGTAAAAGTAAAACGTAACTGTGAAGTTGTAAGGAATTATTAAGACTTACCAAAGCAATAGTATATATACAATCCTATCTGATTTGAAATATTCTGTTTCTGGAACTCTGGATGCTGAGACTAAGAGGTTGTTACACACGACACCACCTATTAGGGTTGGGAAAGACATTTAGAAATTATTTTGGAGAGAAAACTAGAGTCAGTGACGAGCGGGGTAGGTTTTGAATGCAGGGGACAGAAGTGGGTAATGAGTACAGAAAACACTAAAAACCGTTCAAGAAGAGAGAACTAGATTTAAAGTTAGTTCTCCCACACAGAAAGCTTAATTCCCTAAACTGAGGCGAGAAGCAAATTCGTTCCACCATTCGATATAAAGATCTGAAAAAGAATTCCTTCTTTGTTCCAACAAGGTGCAAATTTGTCGCGTTGTGCAGCTACACTCGGATGATCAGGGAATCCCCTGGAGCGAGTTCACGCCTTACCTGCCGGAAAGCAACCATTACAGGAATGGCGAGGAGGGCGGCGTCGCCAGACTACAATTCCCACAATCCTAGCCGTCCACTCCCGTCATGCATCGGCCGCACTGGCCCGTCATTGGCTGAGGAACGGACCATCAGGCTCCAGCCTAGGGGAAGAACCGGGATTGGCGGCTTCCCAAAGGCCCTTATTTTTCACTGTTTAATGAGAGGGTAAGTGTACAAGAAAAGACTTAGTGAGTTCCTACTACCACTAAGGAAACATGTTTTCTACCCTCTCCAGACTTTCTGGACGCATAGTAATGTCTTTTTGGTACTCCGAAATGAAAAGGTAACTGTGGAGAGAGGGTAGTTGTGTAGAGCCATCTGTTTGGGATATTTCTGCAGCAGGAAAATCCCTTTCACCATGTTTCAAATATGCCTAATAACATTTGCTATTTTTTAAGCCAACGGGAACAAATAAGCACATTTAATCAGACACTTTGGAAAATATTGAGTTCTATTGTGATGTATACCAAAGCTTAGAAGAAATGGTTTAAACCCTGTAACCAGATCTTTTATAATTAGAGTTCTGAATATTTTTCAAGAGTGCACTCCGGTGAATCCTTTCCCAATTGTGTTTTGCCACTCCCAAATGCTCCCAAATATCCTAAGTTGCTAAATTAACACTCTAAACCATAACATGAATTGTTTATTTGCATATATAAGCATTAATCCTCTCTGAAAGGTTTTCTTGAAGTCCAGTGTCTGTGACATCCTTACTAAATGTTTCTAGCCATCTGGCCTGAACTCTTGTATTTGCTGACAATTTGTCATCTTTCCATTGTAAGTTATTCATGACTGGGTTAGAGGTGACTTCACCTGTTCTTCATGAAAGTCACACATCCCCTGCCAGTGCATTCAGTTAAGTGTTGATGACCAGCATGTACTCTTGTTGTTGGATACCCTTTCCTTACACAATTATAGTCTTTCTATAAACTGATAGCAAAGATTTATACACCCTAACACACACACACACACACACACAAACACACACCTGGTAGGTGCTTTAGTAACATTAGTTAGTAATAATTATTTGGTTAGATAAATGCACCAACAAGACTTTACAAGAAACCAAGTGGCAAACAAAGCCAGGTGTCTGACAAATTGACAGCATTGTTTCTCTAAAATTGATTATTTTAACAAGTTTTTGCTAATTTCATTTGTCTTATGCAACATTTGGCTCTGTATCTTTTCTATCAATTAATGTTGGAATAGAAACTATATAGCTTCCAAATTATTCTCTTACATTCTAGTGTGATCATTTCAGAGATTTTATTTTTCTTGATGTGTGTATTTCAGTTAGGTGAAGTCTGCAGACTAAAGTTAGAGTACAAACACACAGTTGTTTTTGAGTTCTTCAGTATCTCTTGGTTGGTTTATAAGTTTGAAAAGTCCGTGAATGGTAACCATGATTATTTTTTAAGTTACTGTAGAGAGAGATCAATTATTGGCTTGACCTTTCTGTAAAAGAGTGGTAGAAATTTATGTACAGATGCTTTTTGGTGAAATAAAGTAAAATTGCTTAAATTTTCTTAATCACTTCCCAGCCGTACCTGGCAATTTAAGAAAAGGCTTTTGTGTGCATCATTTTTGAGTCAGATAGTCTTCTGATTCTCAGTTTTTTCTTATCACTCTAACTAGTCTTTCTTTTTAAAAATAAAATATAATTGTGCTTTGCTCAAAACCCTCCTGTTCCATTGCATTAGAAGCCCAAGTCCTATGTCAGGACAATCTTTGCACTTCTGTGCAAAGAGACTTCTGTTTCTTCCACCCTTTCTGATGCACCAATCCTTTGATTCACACTCAACTTTTGCTCTTTTGTAAGCATGCTAATTTTGTTTTTTATTTTCCCCTATTGTCTTTGCCCTTGCTGTTTTCTTGGCCAGGATTTCATCATCATCATCATCATCATCATCATCATCATCATTTGATACAGGGTATTCCTGTGTCTCCAAATGACCTGGAACTCTATGTGTCCAGGCTGGCCTTGCTCTCATAAAGATCTGCCTGCCTCTGGGATTAAAGACCAGCACCATTTTGTCTGGCCCAATGATATCACAGTTACTATCAATGTCATTCAGGGCTCAGAGATTTGTAGCAACTTCACTTCCTTCTATGACTATTTCACTTAAAAAACAATGGGTCTGGAGAGATGGCTCAGCAGTTAAGAACACTGGTTGTTCTTGCAGAAGACATGGGTTTGAATTCCAGCACCCACATGGCAGCTAACAACTGTCTGTAACTCCAGTCCCAGGGGATCTGACAGCCTCCTCTGTCCTCTGTGGGCATTGCACGACACGGATGCACTTACCTACATGAAGGCAATACACACATACCCTTAAAATAAAAATAATAAATAAAATATTAAAAAAACAGAAAACAAAACACCACACCAAACAAACTCTCCATTTATATTATGTATTTGCTTATGTGGTTAGTAGATAAATAAATACACCAAAGTGAAAATTCCATGAAAGGTAGAACTACTTTTATCTTATTCACTGTTGAGCTCTTAGCAATGAGAACATAATCTAGAATGATATTTAATAGGTATTTAGTGAATGAATGAATATGGTTAGTGTGAGACCAGAATGCGATTAATATTTGTCACTGGTCATAGTAGAAAATATCTTACAAATAAGAAGTTTGCTTTCAGACTAATCTTTGAAGATGATTAGTCTGAGATTATTTTGCATCTTCATTCAAAAAATTGAGTATTATATGGCATTCCTACAGCATTATTAACAAGAAGTATTTACATCTATATTAGTGTAAGATACAGTCGCATCTGAAACAGGAATGTACTTTGCTCAGGAACCTGAATCTAATGCTCCCAACTTAGTTTCTCTGCCTAGCTTCTTAACAAGGTTGTCATTAATAATTTAAAGTGGTAGAATCCAGAATTTAAGTCAAGAAAAGCTAAGCTACCACTACTTTTCCTTAAAATAGAGGTCACTGGTAGTCAATGATTGGGATAAAGAACACTGCTTAAGTCACTTATCTGAGCAGTGGAAAGCCAATTTCCCGATCAGCTGTTACCAAGAAACAGTTTCAAAGAAAAAAAGAAGTGATTTCTGCTTGTTTTATAATGATTAGAAATGAGTCACTAATAGGTTCTGAAGAGAAGGCACCTCTGGGAGCCATCGGAGGAGGCAGGATATGCCCACATGAGAATTTTGCAGTGGCTGGTGGGTGTCAGGAAATTCATAAAACCCAGACTTCCTCGTTAGAAATTAAGCCAAGCCAAGTAAGCGGAAACATTTTATTGAAATTCCACAATTAAAAAAAAGATTAATGCAGAAGTAGTCAGTATTTCCCATCAATAATGGATATTTGTCACTGAGAACATTATGTTAGGCTAACTAATCAGTAGAGTCACAGGATAGGATGAGTTGCATTTTCTCAAGCTATGCAGTTGGTCAAAACAAAACAAAACAAAACAAAAAACCCAAAATTCCTAATGCTTGGGGGGACTAAATTTCTCTTGTAGTAGTATTTTACATAGATGTATGGAAGGGCTATAAAAGGTCACACTGTACATAGTTCCAGGCACCTTCTAGAGCAATTAAAGATATGGTCCTATCTCACAATGAATCATTCTTTTGTAGGAATCAAGTTGTTAGTTTTGTTAGTTTTAATCAAGGTTAGTTTTAATGATCAATTTGACACAATCTAAAATCCTTGGGAAGGGAATTTCAATGAAGAGTTGTCTGGATTAGCTTGGCCTGTGGGTATGCCTGTGTGAGAATTTCTTAATTGGTTTAGTAGAAGTGGGAAGAACCACCCTGATTGTGTGCAGCACAAGTTCACGGGCTGGGTCCTGGACTGAATGCAAAGAGAAAGCAAGCTGCTGGTAAGCATGCATGCATTCATTTTCTCTTTGTTTCAACCATGGATTTGACTACTGCTGTAAGTTCTTGCCAGCTTGACTGCCCCGCAATAATGGACTGTGAGGGTATGGACTTTTTCAGGGTATTTATCACAGCAACTGCAAATTAAACTAGGACACAAATATAGACATAAATCTATGTGTCAAAGGAGATAGGGGAACTCCACTTGCCAAATTTTACTTATATTGTTGGGTTCCTGGGATTTGGTTAAAAATGGCTATGTAAGAAAAACTGATTGTTGAGGTGAGAGATTATGTAACATTTTATCCATTATAATAGACTGATAAATTTTGGGACCAGCACCTTTAGCACAAAATTCACCTCTGCCATTTGTTAACTCTACGAAAAAATAAATAAAAAACTTATTATAGTTTTAATTTTTTGTTGATAGTCAATATTTGTATATACTTAATGGGGCACATTATGATAGGTACACACATATAATGTGTATTAATTAGATAAGGATAATTAAATTTTCTCCCTTGAACATTTTATTATTTCAATATGTTTGGAAATGTAAGATTATCAAGGTACTTTGAAATTTTCGATAAGTTGTTTTACTGTGCTACACAATATTGGAACAAACATCTGGTTTCTATCTCTACTTTGGTGCACGGTATCCAATCTCTCTTTATCTCACCTCTCCCTGCTATTTGTAGACTTTAATGAACACTATTTTACTTTCTATGTCCTGGTATCAACTGCTTTAGTTTCCATAAATGAACAAAAATATGCAGCATTTGTCTTCTTGTACTGTATTTATTTTAGGTAACATATCTTCCAGTTCATCTAAGTTGACACAAATGACAGGGTATCCATTTTTGTGGCTGTATAATATTTCATTATGTATAAATACCACATTTTTTTCATCTGTCAATGGGCAACTTAGTTGATTCCATATCTTACCTACTAAGTAGTGCTGTAGTAAGTGTGAGAGTACATATATGTGTGTGTGTATATATTATGTATGTATATATGGAATAGTAATTTCGTTTCCTTTGAATATCTGCTCTTTAGTAGGATTACTGACTCACATGGTAATTATGTTTTCAAGTTTTTAAAGAGCTTCCATACTGTTTTATATCATTGCTGTACTAATTTTCTGCTTTACCAACAGGGTATAAGAATCCCTTTTCTCTGTATCTT